ACGATTACATACATTCCTGGTTTTCACTCACCAGAACTAGGAAGCCCTCAATTTCGATTTCGAAAAGCTGTTCCAAACCCCCCGTTGCCAGACAGGCCTCCGAAACTGCAACCCCAGCACCGCTTCATTCGACCGAGGTTTTTTCTCCGTTTACGGACCGCACACCACCACGGTTCTATCGAACTTCGAGCCTGATCGAATAATATCGATCCCGGCTGAAATCTTCGGGAACAAGGTCGAAAAATATCGATCCATCCGGTATGCGATGCCGGTTTTCACTCGCCGCCGCGCCAGACTTCGGCTGGGTCGTTGCTCTTTACTGTAATCCGACGACCCCCCCTCCCCCGTCCGACGCCGCCCCCTCCCCCCGTTCGCGGGACCTCTCCGCTCTAATTTATCTTCCCTACTTTGCGCCGAGGCTCGGCGTCGATTCCTGCTCCCCCGGCGCTGTTGCCGTTTTTCTCCGGAATCCGAGGTTCGTCCGTCGGGATTTCCGCCGGTTTTCGGTGCGGTTTGTCAACGCTGGACGCTCCGCGATGCACCGCAGTCCGCACCGCAAGCGCGTATCGTTGCCGGGAACGCATGGTCGAATTCCGAGCGAAGTGCGCCGGATCGGTACCGTTCTGCCCGGAGTCCCTCTATGCAGGGAGAGTTAAAACACGTGGAATCCATAAGAGTATTTTTGTTCTGGGTCGAGAAGACCGAGGGTGCGACGCTTCCAAATCTTGAACGTACTCGTGGACAGTGCTGCCATTTGGTTTTATCTGAAGATTCCGAAATAGTTCTGATTTCAGGGAAAATATTCCGATTTGCCTGAGTTCCGAGAAAAATTCCGATTTTTTAACAAATTCCGGGAGAAATTCCGAAATACTCCCGGATTTAGTTGCAAAGCTCGTCAAATTCGATCTGAAAGTCCTTAAATTTGATCCAATAATTGGTCAAACTGGAGAAAAACCGCACAATTTGAGGAAACAGCGAAAATATCTGAAAATTCCGGGGATTCAGAAGATTCCGAGGGAAGTTCCGATCATTTGAAAAGTTCTGAATTTCCGAATTAATCCCGGGAATCGGCAGCACTGCTTGTGGAATCGCTCAGTTTTTCGTTTGTCTATCGCTATGTCTATTAATTTCAATAATCAGCCCGCTATGGTGCTGAGACAGAACGCCGTAGACACCTCCGGTCGTTGCCAAATTGTCGCTTCCCTCACGAATAAACTGCATTTCAATGTTGCCGAATTTACCCTCGCAAATTGTAGCCTTAACTGGAGAATCTTGGGCATTTCTAAATTCTTCATTTTCTCAGGCAAACTCGAATTCTGGGGAAAACTTGTGGATATTTGTCTTAAAATTTTTCAAGAATTTCGTTCGCAATTGAAGCTCGAGTGCTCGAAGATTTCAAGGCAAGTTCGGAACGTTCCTGAAATGATAACATTTTATCGGAGGAGAAGTGAAATCCAATCCTTGGCAGAAATATTCATCAAAGTTAGTTCAGAATACGAACTGCACGAACGTATGCATTCTAGAACGAAAATCGATATTCACGCGATAAAGAAGTTCCAGTAAATTTTCCGGCGCCTCTCCCGCCTGACTTAATAGCGTGGCGTGTTTTGCGATACATCGATTGATCTGCCGTATGAACCTATGGGAAATGCTCGATAGGTAGGGTGTTTGCGTCGGACACCTTACTAATCGATTCTTTACCGCAGCTTCAAATGGGGAAATATCGATCATCGATCATTCACGCTTCCGCCACTGGCCTGACAATGAATTATCAAGCGATAACGAGGTGATAGCTCGGGACGGCATGGCAGCTGAGAAAATATTTATTTGAGGGCCTTACATTATATCCGACTGATAGAAAGCTAGTAACGCGCACGCTTGCGCAACGATCAGCACAATTAGCCGATCGATTTACGTAAGTAAAACGGAAAGAAGCATAATACATCAGAATCGCGATCAGCTTCGCGAAATCAGTGATCATCGGGGTGCAATGGGTGAAGTTATGATGGAGGCAAGCGGTTATGACGGTCGACGTTCTAAAACTCGTCAGATGACGGCAGTAGAGTCCACATCAAATAAGTTTTTACGCACTTTTTCAGAAGATCGTCTAACGTCACTTTTACACTCATTGTCAGTACTGCCATTTTATTTTAACATAGATTGCGGAGCTTCCGGAATTAATTCCGGTTTCTTTAATTTCCATGAAAAAGTTCCGTACTATATATGATCGGATTCAGTGCCAAAGGTCGCCGAAGATATTTATGAAAAAAGGTACCTAAACCCACTAAATTCCGTGAAAAATTCAACAAATTTCGAAAATAATTGAAAATTGCGGGAATTTCAAGATTTCATTTTTTTTTCCATGAAAAACAGCAACACTGTCCTCATACAAAGCATGCTCACTTGATAAGAATAATTCGTAATGTGCCCGCGGCGAGGAGTGACCGCTCGAATTGCCACAATGACGCACTCACGCTGGTACGCACGTCATCAGGCCGGGATATATATTCAAACATGTGGAACCACGAGGCGGAGGGGTGGAGGGATGGTCGCGACTTGCCACTGCCACACCGCATTAATCGGGATGTCGAGTGGTTCAACTCCCATGTCGATGACTTGTTCTCGGCACCCCCCTCCCCCGTTTCAGTCGCCTGCCCTAGACTTTGGAGATTGGGAGGCATGTTCCACGAACGAAGGACCCCGACTGAACTTCGTTGAATGGGGATGGTCTTTAAATACGTGTTCTGCGAGTTCGGGTGGAAACATACACGATGGCTTTCTTTCGGCTGAGAACGGAATTAACCCTCGATAGCGAGAACTGGTCTCTTGAACTTGACACGGACGGACTAAAATACTATTCGTCGAACTGAACTTCGGCTACGTACCAAAGAGGTTGACTAACCGGAATTAACCTAACTAAACGAGACGTTCCCTAATTTTTATGGATTGGATTTTTTTTTAAATGGAGATCCAAAACAACACTGAAACTTAAAGTTCTGCGAGTACATTATTCAGAGAAAATACACAGAACATTTCAAGGTGTTAAAAAATTTTGAACTTTCTGAAAAGGAATGACAAAACGTGAGACAACAGGCACATAGTCGGGGAGGAGGAGGAGAGCTTGGGGGCAGTGTTTTGCTCAAGAAAGTTTAAAATCACCATGAGAGGATAGCTTCATTACAACATAAAATTCGGCGTAAAACGGTGAAAAACAGAGGTTTGCAGAGAATCTTTTTGAAACAATTTCTGGGGATCCTCCTTTGGAGCCCTCTTGCCGGTCCAGGCTTCCTCTCCCTTCGGCACAAAATCCTGGCTATGTGCCGCTGAGACAAGATTACGCAACGTTTAAGACATTATGTGCCCATTTTTCTGTGGGTTTTCACGAAAGAATGGAATGGAGTGTGATTTTTAGAGTATCTCGAGGAAAAAAAGACAAAAAAAGAAAGAAAACCATTTGACCCTCGAAGATGAGAAGGCGTGCAACTGTCGATTGAAAACTGAAATTTCAGCGGAGTCTTGGGGAGTTTCTCCTGGCTGAGAACCGAGAGGAAATTCCGGGGGTTTTCTCTGAGCGAGGCGCGGCGAGGCAACCGCGACGGAGAAGCGAGGATTTACAGTTAGCCCAGGCCGAACGGCAAACGGCAAGCGAGCATAGTCAGAGTGCGAGCGCGGATTGCGCGGAATCCAGCGTCCATCAAACGTGAGGCACCATTCATCGGACCGGCCAACCGTGAGCCACCAATCAACGCCGCCCCCCTTCCCCGTGACCTACCAATCACGGCGGACCGCAGTCTCGCGGACGCGTATTGGTATTTTCTAGCAATCCGAGGGACACGCACTGAAAAACGATACGAACTCCAGCTTCCGGAAGAAAAAAAAAGACAGGGAGGAGTAAAAGGGCGACAGAGGGATGTGAGAGGAGAAAAAACGTAGAAGGGGGGAAAGAGGGGGGAAATGGCAAGATAGATAGACAAAGAAAGAAAATAAAGGGATAAATGCAGTAACTGGGCGAAAAAGGGAGTTAGACGGATAAAGAGGAAGAAAATTCGTGAAGTGAGAGGGAGAGAGGGAGAAAAATGAGGGGAAAGGAAGAAAATAAGGGGTAGAAGGGGTAAATGGGCAAATAAAAGGAGTAAAAGGAATGAAAATTCGGGACAATTTGGTTCGTGTAGCCGAAGTTTTCCCTGAGTGACGTCTATCTTAGCGGAAAAGTTAAGGTGCTCAATGCCTCAAGAGCAGTGGAGGTTAGGAGTCGTAGAGCGCGAGGGAGTGCTGTAAAGCAACTTATATGTGTGTATGTACGTCTATCTACAACAATCGACATGGCTAAATAATTCATAGTTATGTCGATAAGAGACAGAGAGATTTTCGAAAGCATTCCATTTTTTCGAAAGACAACTCCACGAGGGACTTGTTGGCGGCAGTACTGATAATTTTTTCGAGCCGTACTAACTACTGAGTATAAGTTCATCACTTTAAAATAATTTACTGATATATAGCCTGAAATGTGTGCGGACATACGATAAAAGTCGCGAAAAGAGGAGCCAAGGAACATAATCCAAGTGCATGGTAATATACGCTGAATAATGCCTCTAATTACCACTCGGCTTTCATTGCTCGTGTAAAGCTGGGAATTGACCAGGGGAAAATCGATTATGAAGTGGGAGAGTCTACTAACTTCTCAGCAAGCTTGTTCGTGAACTTCAACGAAGATAAATCTGTCTGCGCGGTACTGCTTTGGCCGGCAGGGAGTCAGTGTTCTGTTCATTGGGTGGCACTTGCGTCAAACTACCAAGATTTGAGTTTTAATTTGACGCAAAAATCCGTAGAAAAAAGTTAGTATGTAGCCGTGGGAAATGTTATTAGTCAGGCTGATTTAAAAAAATCATGTTTTTCAATTATTTTCAAATCGTCGATTTTTATCGCGTGGCAACAATGCATCTGTTCAAATGGACCTTTTCTAGTATATAAAAGACGATGGAATATAATGAAAGACTTACCACCAGTGCCGAGGACTTTCAGGAGGTCGAAACATGACATATCCACGCGACCAACACCAGTTAAATTGACTGCAACAGAGAGGGAAAAAATCATTAGGAATCAGGTGTTTTAGACATTAAATCAGGGATAGAGAGAGAACATTTCAGGAAAGCGATAAATGATTAAAGCCCGCTGCCTTGTAAGGCCATATGCGGGAACGTGGCAGTATGAGACGTGCTCATTGGAAGTTCACGAAAGCCGTTTGGAAAAACCTCCGCTTGACGGTGCGCTGTGAGGAAAATCCGGAAATAAGACGAAGATAGCGCAGAACGTTTACTCATGGAGTCTCACTGTGACGATACGTCGTTTTTCTTTAAAAAAAGCGTAACTACATCTTATGTTGTCGGATTTACCCTCGCAAATTGGATTCATACCAAGCAAGCGCATGCTGCCGCTTTAAGGAAAAACACCGTGCGAGCCTTTCAGACACTGCTCGATTCTGGATGACCGAATAAAGTACTGATTTTGCGAGATAGTGAAAATTTCTCTCCCAATTGTAGACAGAATTTTATTCGCGACTTGATTTAAAAAATTAGAGAATTTAGGAAAATATTAACAATAACTATCATCAACAAAATCAATTCAGGGCACCTACTTTTTTTTCATAGAGAGAACCTGACTTTTCTTGATTTATGACTTCTGAATCCTGATTTCTTGCGAGGAAAAATTAAAATTTCTGCATAAGAGTATGCGAAAGCAAAAAATAATCCGAGCGGACAGCCAACTTTTCTCAAATCCTGATTTCACGACCGATATTTCCTCAAATCCTGATGAAGTCGGGATTAAGTTCCGATGCTAGACACCCTGCAATTTCATCGGGAGGCGTTCGGCGACATCCGAATGTTCATACATCGTCCTTCTGGCAACGGACGGGCAACCCTCCGACACGCAGGGTATCCGCGGGTGGCCCCCGGCGAAAGGTGCACCCCTCGGCGACATCCCTGCGACGATCGGGCGGTATCGCATCCTGTCCTGGCGCTGCGGTCGCCGGTCGGGGGGGATTATGCAAGGGCGAACGGGCGGGGAAAGTGAAAACGAAAGCTACGACATCCACGAGAGAATGCACCCACCCAGGGCCGGGGCCGCGGGCGGGACGAGGGGGGAGGGGGGTCCGCCGCCGAGTGGAGCTTCCACCGCACAGCGGCGTCGCGGCGCAGCGCGGCGCGGACGCCGCGACGCGGGTGACCTGGTTTCGCGGCCGCGAAGTGGGTCATGACTAACGCGCGCCCGACGGGGCCGCATCGCCACAGCAGCCGCCGTCGCCGTTGACTCTTGAAGCCGAGCGTCCGAATCGGAAGCGAGTGCTTTTCAGCAAGAACCACGATTAGAACAAGCTTTTATGTGTCTCCAGGCTCATCTTAATAATACACTTACAGCCCTCTTCCGCAAAACAGTAGACGACCCCCCCCCCCCCAANAAAAAAAAAAAACTAAGCTTTTGAATATGCAACACTGGAAAAAAAAACACATTGGATCTAGAGTCCAGACTCTCGAAAATATTGACAAGAAAAAGGACTCTTGATCCAAGCCGATTTAAGCTTAAATCAAAAGGAAATCCGCTCCAATTAAGAGGCTTGGTTCTTGATATAAGCTTAAATCTGATTGAATCAAGATTATTTTTTCTTGTCGATGTTTTTAAGAGTCTGGACTCTAGATCCAATGTGTTTTTTTTTTCCAGTGAATAGAGAATTTGCAGGTGTCTTAAATTTTACTTTATGGATTTCATCTTTAAAATAATACTACTAAGAAAACTGAGTATGAGGACATCCTTGATTGCTAAATTGAACAATTGTTGGAGAACATAAGATGAAATAACCTGATCTGCTAAAATACATGTGTTTAAATGGAAAATGCCACTAGGTGACGTCATAAGACGGCACATTTTCTCACTTTTAAATCTATTTTTCTCCAATTGTCCATGTCAGCAAAAAAATTATGAAAAATACTGCGAACTCAGCTCATTAGGCACTCTCAGATAAAGACATACAATTTTTGTGTGCAAATTCTCCATTTGCGATTATAATACTGCTTCCCGGTAAAATTTCGCGAGATACACGATAGTGCCACTGATTTTCTCGGGAACAAACTCCAAAGCTCAAAAAAACCTCTTGAAACTGAGGCCGTAATAGAGGAGATATCCCACGTTACCGTAACCGAGGCTTGTGGCATGGCTGCGGTGCACTTTGGTGCAATGGCGCGACCTAAAAGTGCATGCGTCCCGTCAGAACGTATTTCGAGTGCCCGCTGGACTCAACGAGGACACGTTGCACGTTCCGTTGAATTCACTTTCGTGCGTCGCCGCCATGCCGCGCCGCACAGTGGATCGAGCCAATAGGAGCGGTCGTACTAAACTTGGAAACTTTAAGCGCTTATATCTACGTTCATTCAAAACTTTGAGGTTCTAAACGTGGTTCCATTGGTTTCCTGGTGAAATTTTCTGCATTAAGCACCCATTGAAATGTAAAATATGACGAAATGAACACTAAAATTTGCAGTTCTAGTAAAATATTTCATGTTCGAACATTCTAATTGACTCTATCCACTGTGCGACAAAGCGTAACCAGCCACGCTAAAATCCACCTTTCACTGAATCAGCCGTATGTTGCGCTCTGAGTCTGCCGTAGACGTAGGATGACGGTTTCTCAGAGGATCCCTACTGGTTCTCTCTGATACGAACTCCGCTCAGCTCAAAAAAAGCTCCAAGTTGAGGCTGGAATGGAGGGGATATCCAACGCTGCCCTGAGAGTCCACCTCTTTATCGAGTCAAACTCTTCGTGCAAAAATAGGGAGCGATGACATTAGAAGAGTCGCTGTGTTTTCAGTTTTGGAGCCCCCGCACTATGAGGCAACCCTGTTAATGTATTACCTCCCTATCTTTGCACGGAGAGTTTGTCTTGATATGGAGGTGGACTCTCCGAGTAGCATATCTCAATTTTTTCAAAAACTGCACCTATCCCATTCGCCTTCCAAGCCTCTCAAATGTAGTTACGTCCCCAGGAAACGATGGGTTCAGTCATTGGCGGATCCAGCAACTTGACACCATTGCTCTATCTCCATTTAAACCTATGAAAATGTATCGATACTCGAAGGGGCCGTCAAGTACCGATCATTCAACAAAGGTTTAAATGGAAGCAAGCCAGTGATGCCAAATTGCTGGATTCCGTCTCTGAATTCAGTACCAGTCACTCGTTGGAACTCGGGTAAGAAAACACAAGCTCGGATCGATGCTTTTCAGACATGAACGGAGGTAAACTTATAATTTTTATACACAAACTTAGACCCAACTCTGAGCTGAATCCCCCGGGACGTCGAAAAAACTCGAAGCGTTTTCATTTTCCTCCCTTCGCTTCGAGGAAAAAAACAAATTTAATGCGCTCCGATTGACCCTGTATACCATTCTTTCGATAATTCGATTCCCACAGCGTGGAACGAACATTTTCCTCGAAATCTCAACGGGAATTCCGAGGATGTTGAGCTCTACCGCGTTAAGAAAAAACGCCTTATAAGCCTTCAGACGCTGCCAAATCTTCTCCGACCATTCGCGAATTTCCCGGAAAATTAGTGAATATTTTCCTCTTTAATTTTCAAGGAATGTAATTCGTAATTTGATCCAAAGCGTCTGAGAATCCTCGCTATTCTAATAAAATAATTTTTAAGACGCTCGATGAACGGGATGAGGAAGGAGAGTTCGACGGTTCGAGGGTCGAATTTCAAAGAAGGGATAGGGAATCAGAGTGCTTACTCACGGAGAAAGTCATTAAGAATATTTAGGGTTGTTACAGAATTGGGAAAATAGAATTCCCGGACGTTTCCCTGATTTCCCTGACACATTTTGGTGAAATTCCTTGACAATTGAAGATATGGCAAATGGTTAAGAAGACATACTTGAAAATAGTTTTCGGGCAAAATTTGTAGTTCGAAACCTCAAACCTACTTTAGAAAGCAAATAAAGAAGATTTAACAAATTTTCCCTGACATTCTCGTCATTTTCCCTGGCATTTTCCTGAATTTTAATTCCCTGACTGTGGCAACCCTGAATATTGGATTTTTCCTGGCATTTTCGCCATTTTTCCTGGCATTTCCCTGACTGTGGCAACCCCGAATATTGAATTTTCCCTGACATTTTCGTCATTTTCCCTGACATTTCCCTGACTGTGGCAACCCTGAATATTGTTTGGCGGGAATGTCTTTGAAACATCGTTTTGTTATTAAATTGAAATTATTTGCCCTTAAATCGCCAACGGGTGATTACACGGGTTGGACCGCGTAGCGGTTAACCCCCTGGTTCTAAAGAAAACTATCCTTAGCGTTCTTCAAAAATAGATATTTTTAAAGAATTTGGCAACATTTGAATGCCCATACGGTGTTTTTACTCGACAGAGAGCTCGGAGCGGGTAGGCGAATTCTGGAGCGGCTCGGTGACCCATTTCGGCGCGGATCCTGACTCTGCTCTCGTCCTCGCTGCCATGGCGACCGATCAGGCACGAGGCCCGTGTCCGGTGCTGCAATGCACCTTCCACGACGCCTCCCACGTCACTTAATTAAAGGGAGCTTTTTGAGCAACGTCTGCCTGCCCCTGCCGGCCTACACGTCTTATTGACCGTGACGTACACGCGGGACGTTGCCCCATCTCCAGGGAAATCCCTCGTTTTCCAAGACGCCTCGCCGGGGGAGTCGGCCGACTGATTGTTAGGCGACGGGAAAATCAGAATGGAGAATTTGCACATGTCTGACGTTTGGACTTCATTTTGCAATTAGGAACTACAATTTCTGGCTAATCCATATAAACACTTATGTGCATAGCAAAACGAATGGTGCATACACGTTGTTTCTAAACTGAGCCAGAGGTTGTAGTTCCGAATTGCAGAATGTAGCCCATTTGGGGTGTTTCATATACAAGATGAAACTACTGAGAGAACTGAGCTCGAGCATATCTTCGGTTTCTAAATTAGAGAATTATTGGGGGATATGTGAAAACACATTAATATTGAAACACTGATTGATACTTTATTAGAGACAAATCTGTAACA